TGTGATGGTTACTTCAGTAACTTGATTTTAAAGTAGTATTTTTAAGTTGATTGATTAAGCATAAGGGCAAATAACTTGAAATTAACTTATTTATATTTATAATAAATCTAAAATTTGTGTACTTGTATTCTGTATTGTAGTTTTAATTAGAGTATGTCTCTGTTGACATAGGAACCCTTTAGGCTGTGAGCAAAGGATTCCCGAATGATTGTACTACATGTTATGACTTGTCCATGTGTTACTTTGTAACAGTTACGGATGTTAATAAAGATGATGATGATGATGATGATGATGATGACTATTGTGAATGAAGGTTTTTTTTTGTGGTTTTCTTTGGTCCTTCCACGCAGATGCTAGTATATTACCCTCAATTAGGCCATGACTACTTCCTTTCACTTTCTTTCAAGTATGTTATCCACTTGTCCTATCGTTTGAAACTAACCTGAGCTACTGAAAGTGTCATTAAATAAACCACAAACAAACGAAACTAAATAGGGTATGAGGGTCTGGACTGAATTTAAATGAGCCAGGATGTGGCCCAATGATGGGCTGTAATGAACATGGCAATGAATCTTCAGTTTCCATAAAAGGCGAATATCTTGACCAGCTTGGTCACTGTCACCTTCTCTTGGTGTGTTGTGGAGTTACTTAATGTCATTGCAGTATATGTTGTTTCTTCAGAAAAGGGTTGGACGTTCAACCCATGACCATACCGTGGATGTCGACCTCTCATTAGAGGGCCCTGCCTAGAAAGTCTCACGTCGGCAAGGCACCATTCACCTTCGAAACAGTGGTGACTTTTTCCTGTCTAGTGAGAATAAAATGAATAACCAATGGTCAGCCAATGTTACGTGAAGGTGTTACCTTTGCCAGTCTGCACCTGTGTCACTTGGAGCACATTCAGAATGATACAATATTGATCTGTGGTCATCTTTCGTTCCCTATTTCACCTAGTTCACAATTTCATATTGTAAAATGCACTCTGCAGCCAACCAATGAGATTATTTGAAGTGCATGAAGTCGCATCATGTGAAAATTTCCGCATTGGGAGTGCAAAGTGCGAAGATTTAAGCAATAAAAGTGAACAGAAACACGTTGAAGGGTTGGCTGTAAGTTGCAGTTTCTGCAGAGAAATTCACTTGCGTTTGTCAGTGTTGTGAAACAGAAGAATTAAAATAATTATTTTTTGTTTTGTAGGTAGAAAGCTGGTCATCAATTCCAGATGACCTCATGGAGTTTTTTTAAACTTCGAAGACCAGCAATTTGACATATTGGATCATGTCGAGCTTCTCTCTGCTGCAAGTGCAGTGGAAACAGGAGACGTAACTGCACCATCCAGTATTTGTACTGACTCTTCACTTTTCTATATTCTCAACACAGATGACACAATGGGTGATGATTCAAAATCACAGCATCCAAGACTTCAGTTAAGATGTAAGAATGATCAGTGTAAGTGTTACGGTTTAAGAGGTTTTGAATAAGCTGAGGATGATTCATAGTAATGTAAAGTATATGATGTTTGGTCTTACAAAGGAACCATGCATTTTTGCAGATTTTAAAACAGTCTCCTATGATGTATGTGTTGCAGCTGCTTGGTCATGCAAATAGAATGATAGTGTGGCTAGAGCAAGGATGTTGTGAAGGGCTGTAGAATTATTTTCTGAATGAGAGAGTCACGCAGTTGGGTGGATACTAATAGGCAGTACGAAGAGAGGAAGTAACTGGCAAGTTATCAGAAGTGAAATGTGGGAAGAAGGGGTAGAGATTGGAGATATCATGCACATAGATCTGTGTACAACAGAAATTATGTGGAAGGACATGACAAGAAGATTATTGTGTTTAACCCTTTGATTTACATAGTACTAGGAAACTGAATTGTATTCTCTTTGTTTCAGCATTCCACTGAGGCCATTGTGCTGTCATGAATGTGGCCCAGTGTGGACTGAAGATGCTTATGCTGTGAGACATTCTAACCACCCAGAAGTGTTCCTGCAGAGCTCACCAGCAGGGGTGACACGCTGCCACCAACATCATGCCCTGCCAATGCACTCAGTCACGTCTTCCCCACGGTACTCATCGGCAGTGAATCCTGCCCGCATCCGCATTGCCTCGGACCTGCATGCTGGCCCACGGTTTGCACCTACTTGGTAGGTAAGTTGGAAAACTGCCATGTTCAAAGCACAACGTAATGTATGAGAAGGGAATAATTTTAATTCTTCAGTGTTGTAGCATGCCAGTGGCTTTTGTCATGTCGCTGAAGTCTGTATGTGGCTCGCACAGTGCAGTGCTAAGTTTCAGCCTATTTTGAACTGTTGTTTTTCATGTAAAGTAATTCTTTTAGTCTGAAATTAAAGAGGAAATTTCAGGCTATCATTTCGTATTTTCGTTGTCCCACTTTGAACTTCCTGCGGCTATTGTGATACATTTGAATTCTTTGAAAAATTTTTCTACTTCAACACTTTGTGTGGTTGTTACCATACAAATCTATTCTTGCCTTGAGGAATTTTTATGAACTAAATATGTTAGATCGAGACTGTGTGCTGTACTCGATGCTGATCGAATGAAAAGTCGATTCTTTTTATGCATGTTGTGACCAGTGCTGCTTCAAGATTTGAATTTGGAAGCATGAGAAAACGTGGACAGTCTGTGACTTTGAGACATGATGTTGACTCTAAGAAATATGTTATGACTGCTATGTATGCGAACCATAAACAGTTCGCTATATGAATGGTACTACTGTAATTCCCCTTTGTTCTTTAAATACACACCATGCAGTCTGGTTTTAGCTGCCAAAGCCAATCACGAGCAGTGAAGTGGCCAGCTATGTTGTGTTACGACCAGTGGAGGATATATTTACTTCGAACTGAATCAGGACAAAGTTTTATCGGAGTCACAATTTGACACTGAAAATGGATGTTTGTACTTTTCTCGATTCTGTGGTAAGTGACAGAATCGAGGAAAGCACAAACGTCCATTGGGAGAATTTTCAAAAATATAAGGGGCAAAAAGAAAATTTCTGAATAGGATGATATGTAGGAATAACACAAGGGAAAGAATAGATGAATTTTGAATTGTTTCATTTTTGGTCCGTTACACTATCACTCATAAAGTCAATAGAAAGTCCGTCGAGTGTAACCATGTTTTTTAGGTCACTTCTGTATCACATTTGCCTTACATGTTTCGGTTTTAGTAAAACCATCATCAGAGGCACATGGTACTAACAAGAAAACACTGGCGTTGTTTAACTGTACACAGTATATATGCTGCGTGGGCGCTGCTACAAATGTCGATGTGTAAAAGCACAACACTTGCTAGGAATATTGAATGCATGTTCAACTCTCGCATTCCATCCGAAATTGCCCTCAAGTTAAAACGTCACTATTAAAATATTTAAAAATATTTAAAAGTTTAAAACATTTGAAGTAAAATGTAAAATGCTGGCTACTTCTTGTTAATTCTTCCTGATGTTGGGAGATGTCGGCTTGAGGTGTACACAACACACAACGCATAGGAATCATCCAACCACAAGCCTATACAACCTCAAGAATTAACAAGAAGTAGCCAGCATTTTACATTTTACTTCAAATGTTTTAAACTTTTAAATATTTTTAAATATTTTAATAGTGACGTTTTAACTTGAGGGCAATTTCGGATGGAATGCGAGAGTTGAACATGCATTCAATATTCCTAGCAAGTGTTGTGCTTTTACACATCGACATTTGTAGCAGCGCCCACGCAGCATATATACTGTGTACAGTTAAACAATGCCAGTGTTTTCTTGTTAGTACCATGTGCCTCTGATGATGGTTTTACTAAAACCGAAACATGTAAGGCAAATGTGATAAAGAAGTGACCTAAAAAACATGGTTACACTCGACGGACTTTCTATTGACTTTATGAATAGATGAATTGTTAATCAGAATTCAGTTAATTGAGGGAGACTCTGTGAAATATGCTAATGCTGTAGAATACAAAGGGCCGGGTTGACAGTCTTCAGAAAAACAGTGCCTTTCTAAGAGAAAGAAATTTTATAAGCAAGACTCCACCAACTGTGAAGATATCAAGACAACAGAAACATCAAGTTGTGTGTCAAAAACTATGCGATGTGGGACTCTGTGTGGGATATTTTCATTACTAACAGAACCACACATATCCTATGTGAATGTGAGGCCTTAGCTTGTTTAAGATTACGTCACTTGGGTCAATAGTTTATGGAACCAAGTGACTATTTTGGCGCCCCCATGTACAAAATCCTGCGCTTCATTCAAAGCACGGGATTACTGAGGGATAATCAAAAGGGGAAGCACAATAGACCACTGTAGGTCGTGGTGCAAGGGCCGAGAAGGCCTACCCCTCATTCATTCATTCATTCATTCAACACAACTAGCTGAATTTCTAAGATGATAAAGATACCATGATACTATTATTTTCCTACTCTTTATAGGCTTGCTGTGCCAAAAAATAAATTTAAAGGAGTGTGGATCAATACACCAATTCTATATACATTTCTGATCATGATATGAAAATTAGAAACACAAAAAAAAAAAACACTTTTCCCCAGTTTATTATGCTTTAAGATAAATGTTGCTTTTACCGTTTAAAATGTTTAAATATCCTCCATCCCAAGGAGTAAGTAGGAATTAAATGTCCTGCGTCGTTCAAGAGTTAAGGTTTTCCTGTTGTCATTGCCAGACCAAGATGAAAACCAATAATCAAAAAGGAATTGCAGAATTAAGATTGAAGTCTTCTGGAATGTGCCTCAACACAGTTTACTACACAGGCACTGTCTTTTGAGAAGAATCTGCATGGAAGATGGAGGCAGCAAGTTACTCTGGTCGCTAC